AATCAATATATCAATATAACATTGATACAATACATTTTATTGTAATTGGTTTCCCCCCGAACTTCTACAGGTTTACTTATCAAATCAGCTAATATTACTCTTACATGATGTTTAAAGTTAAGAGAAATGTAAATTTGTTTTCAACTAAGTTGAATAGAATTCTGACATTGTTTTTACTTTAACAGTATTCCAGGGTACAGCTTGGACGCACATTAAATTGAGTTAATGATGGCAATCACTGTCTACCTAGGTAATTTCTAAGTAAGACAGGATACCGAAGCATTGCGTACCAGGTGTAAGTTCAAGTGTTTTCAGTGTCCTCAGCAGAGGCTTCGTCTCTGGCTGGTGTCGCTCAGCGTGTCTGCACTGTGGGGACGCCCAGGGCACGTGTGCTGCTGGAGATAGCGTCTGAGTTGTGTGACACCCGGGCACCTGGTTTTCTGTGAAGGAAGGTCAGTCACTTGGGTTGAGTCTTAATTAAAATGGATGACAGAGAAAAACTGTTGTATATGTGCTTTTATTTTCAAGGAAAGGGGGTCTTCACACCCCCCCTCAAACTTTTTGGTCTCTCTTTTACACATAAAAATTACTGAGGACCCTGAAAAGCTTTTGATTAAGTGGTTTTTATCTATTTTCTGTGTGAGAAAGTAAGACTGGAGAAAATTTTCAAATATTGTTGATTTGTTTGAAAATATCAATGCCTGTTGCTTAACGAATATTTTTAAAAAATACTGTATTTTACAAAACAATGTTTTTAGTGAGAACATTGTTTCATGTTTTTGTAAATCTCTTAAATGTCTGAGTCTGAGAAGAAGCTATGAAATCTCACAGCTTTAGCAAAGTTTGCTTATTTTGATGGTCTTGCCTCCTTTACTGTCAAAACGAGTTTTTTTGGTTTTGTTTTGTTTTTAATTGTTTATTTTTGGCCGCACCGCGGAGCTTGTGGAACCTTAGTTCCCCGACCAGGGATCAAACCCACACCCCCTGCAGTGGAAGCACGGCGTCCTAACCACTGGAGCGCCAGGGAAGTCCCCAAAACAATAATTTTTGATGCTTTATGTTTTAAGGGGAAAAACAGCCCCACAAAGAACAAAGGTTGATCACTTATGAGGAGCTTAAGGTTTTCTTAGTTTCGTTCATTGATAACCATGTCCTGTTTCTCAGGCATCCGTGACCCCATCTTAAGTGCCCAAGTGGACTCTGACAGAGCTTCCAAAGGTTGGACCCTGAATTTAGAAAAAAAAATGTTTTCAGGATATCTTTTACACCTAAAACTAGTATTGAGACTTCCCAGAGTGCCCCTGGAGAATCCCACAGGCCGTTTACCTTATACTTATAAAGAGAGCGATTATACAATTAATCAGATTTGGCTGAAGTGTTACTGTTGTGAGGCTGCTTTGGTTATGTTTACAGGAAACCGTTACTCATTTAAATGTTTCAGAAGCTGTGTGCTATATGGGGACGCCTTTATTCTCAGGGGAAACACTGATCACGGTCTTTTTTTTTTTTTTTTCGGTACGCGGGCCTCTCACTGTTGTGGCCTCTCCCGTTGCGGAGCACAGGCTCCGGACGCGCAGGCTCAGCGGCCATGGCTCACGGGCCCAGCCCCTCCGCGGCATGTGGGATCTTCCCGGACCAGGGCACGAACCCGCGTCCCCTGCATCGGCAGGTGGACTCTCAACCACTGCGCCACCAGGGAAGCCCTGATCACGTTTTTTAACGTACTGTACCCCAAAAGAGAATCTGACCCCTTCCGTTCTGATGTTGTCAGTTAGAGAAATACATGAATCACCCCCGGCAGCCTGTGCCCTCTGGGGATGAGTTGGGGCTTTTCGTGTGTGTCCTCAGCAAAGAAGGACGGAATCAGAGACTTGTGGAAAGGACTGGTACTAGGTACTTTCAACTAGTGAAACTTCACAAACAGACGTTTGTGTTCTCCTGGTTTCAACAACTCAGAGCTTCGCCGGGTGCAGGTCAGGGTTTCCAGGCTCTTCTGGGTGCAGACGGCGTGGGCGCAGCTGCTGGGACCCACAGACCAAGGTGGGAAACTGGTGGTTTGCTCGGAATATTGCTGACGTTTCCATTTCTGTTTTCTAGACACACGAAACTTTCTCTTTCTTCAACTGTCTGTAACCCATAAAAACCCGGTAGACGGAAATGACAACTAGTTCTTCCTGACAGAATTCTTGCTAAGTTTCCTCATTTTGTGTGATGGTACCGCTATTTGCATAGGTTCAAAAAGACGACTCTGTGGGGGGTGTTTTCTTTCAAACTTTATTGTGGTAAAATAGATTAAAATTTTACCGTTTTAATCAGTTTAAGTGTACAGCTCAGTGGCGTTAATAGGAGTTAATAATTCTCTAGAAAACACGCACAACTTCTCATGTAAGTGGGGCAAGACGGTGTGTGTCCTCCTGCGTCTGGCTTGTTTTGTTCGGTGTAACATCCTCAGGGTTCCTCCGCATCGTCGCAGGCGCCAGAATCTCCTTTGTTGTGTGTGTGGTTAAATATTTATACATAAACTTCTCCACTGTAACCACTTCCGAACGTGCCCCGCACTGAGATGCCACCACCCCCGTCCTCTCCAGGACCCTCGCATCTCCCCGCCCCGGGCCAGCAGTCCACTTTCCAGCAGAGAAGCAGCTGCCCTTGTGCGTCTGGCTCGTGTCACTCAGCTCAGGGCCCTCAGGCTCCTCCCTGTGCAGCAGGTGCCATAGCCTCCTCTCTGAGGCCGAACGAGACTCACCGCGGGATGGACACTGCGTCCACCCGCTCACCCATCAGTGGGTGTGGCGTTGTCACCACCTGTGCTGTTGTGAGTGACGCAGCCAGGAGGATAGGTGTGCACGTACCCGGAAGCAGAGTTACTAGAACAAAGGTAATTCTGTGTATAAGTTGGTGAGAAACTGCCTACTGTCCTTTGTTCTTTTTACCAGGATGTAATATAATTGGACAACTTGAGCGCCTTCCTCAGAACGTCCTATTTCTGAATGATGCTTGTGTGATCGACTGTGACAGGCCACTTGTCACAGAACTGAGCTGCCTGTAGGGAGTGAAGGCTACAGAGCCTCCCAGGAAAGCCAGTCTGGCCCTGGGGTCCCCGCCCTCCGTGATGGGAAGGTCGCTTCCTGCAGGCCAGGGAATCTGAGATAAGTGGGGACCCGAGTAAGAGAGGCTGGGAATGAATATATGAGTGGACGATGGCAGAGCAGCCTGCCCGGCCCCTTCCCCCAGCCCCCCCCCAGTGACCACCAGCCCGGAGGTCAAGTCAGAGAGCTCTCTGGGACAGTCCAGGGAGCTAAAAATAACTTCAGGACTCGATTGACACCCGACAGCTTCTCTCCTTTCTGTTTGTGCCTCCAACGTGGGGCGACATAGAGGACACCATCGCACAGGGAGCCACGGCCAGCGGGCCCCCTGCTTCCCCCGCGGCCTCCTCTGCAAAGCTCCCCACCCACTGCCTGCATTTGAGTCTCTGCCACGTGCAAGTGTCTGGATCCGTGGCCCCTGTTCCCCTGGCTGGGCTTCCTTTTCTCCGCACACATATAGAGGGGCCACAGGTGGAGCCTGTGAACTTGCTTGGCCTGGCGCTCCTGCCCGCCCTCGGGGTAGCAGAGTCCAGCCTGAGCTTCCTGGTGAGAATTTCCAGACAGAAGCTGATCTTGTGGCTTTAGTCGTTGTTTAATCTGAATTTGAAAAAGAAACCTAGGAGGCGTGGCTCGTTAATTAACATTCTTATGAGACCCGCCCTGTTTGTGCGTGTCAAAGAATCATCTTTGAGATCATTACCAGTCCGGAGACTGTCAGGAAATCTGTGAAAGACTTTGAAATGGGCAAAAAACCTGGATATTCTGGCCAGCTCACCCTTTTCTTGTCTTTGAGCTATTTTACGCCTCTGTGAGCTGCAGAAAACGGATGCTGATGCAGGTGATTTGTCCATAGAAATACAGGTGCTCTGCCGTGGGTGCTTGTGTGCTGAGTGGTTTTAACATCTTTGTTTCCCCCATTAATCAGTTATATAAAATCTTTAGTAAGTGTTCATTTCAGAAGGAAAAAAGGAAATCCACCTTCTCCAAACCCACTGTCTTTCTGAGGAAAACACCGGGCCCCAGCCATCCTGCAGAGGCACTTTCTCCTGTGCATCCGTCCCGTCTGGGTCAGCATCCGTGTTCTGCTCTCATTCTATATCCTTACATATAGAGGGAGAGCTATAAAGACATATATGCACAGGTGACCTTCGAACAACAAAGGTTTGAACTGCATGGGCCCCCCTTCTGTGGGGATGTTTTCCACTAGTAAATGCCCCACGGGCTGTTGTTGGTTGAATCGGAGAATGCAGATCGTGGATACAACTACATTCTACGCCCACTGACCCCCGCGTTGTTCAAGGGTCACTATGTAAAGGCATTAAAACATTTGGTGGAAGTATCTGTTGAGGTGGGAAATGAGCACAGTGGATCAGGGCCGCGGGGACAGTGGGGAGGGCGGGCCCAGGCGGAAGGCAGATTTTATGTGAGTTACCCCTTGATGGCGGCCTCCCCGGTTTTCGGAAGCTCGTTCCTGAGAGGGTGTGGTGGAGGCCGAGGCTGTGACTGTGGACGTGGGTTGGCTTCTGCGGCCTTTCCCCCGGGGGCCTGCTCTGTGGCACATTGTCCTGCAGCTCTGCCTCCTGTCCTGGAGGCCCGTGGAGGCCCTCGGGCCAGCGTCCTGCTGCTTCCTGTCTGTCCCTCCAGTTCATCTGCGACCTTTGCAGCCTGCCCGGCCCCAGGGTGGGCTCATCCGCTCCCGGGGGGTGGCCTGGGTCCTGGGGATGCAGGCCCCCAAGGCCCCCGCCCACGCTCCCGGGGTGGTGGTGGGGGAAGCCTTGCCCTTTCTCCCTGGAGAGGAGCTGGTTGTTCTCTTTTTACCCCGTGTATTTCGGAACCGTATGGAAGTTCCAAATTTGACAGTTACTGCCCTACAAGGGGCCCTGCACCCACCCTGTGTGTGTCCTCTTCCAGGCTGCCGACCCGCACCCCTGTGAGCTGGAGCCCACGACGCTGCCTGGGCCATGGACTCGAAGGTCAGATGGGCGGTGGTCCTGGGGGTGTGGGCGGCGGAGCCTCGGATCCCAGCTCTCGGGAGCACAGGGCGGAAAACCCCCTTGTCCCCGCACCGCTTCCGCCCGCTCCTGTGCAGGACAGGCTCAGAGCTATAGCGTCGCCGAGGTCGCGTGGGCCAGTCCCCTGCCTCAGCAGGATGGGGCCTAAATGGCGCCTTGTGCTTTAAGCGAGTTTAAAAGAGAAAGTCGCGCCTGGCCCAGCAGAAGCTCTTCTTCACCTCCTTCCTGTCTTTGCCAGGCAGTGTGGCATCTTCGGGTGCCCAGCCCGGGGCCCTCCGTGTCGCCACCAGCCCCATGGGGGCGGCCGCGGGCCTGAGGACTTACTAGGTGGTTCACGAGCCTGGCCCAGTTTCTGCATCTCTGAGCAGACAGCGCCTGGGGGCTGGGTGTGCGCTTCTCAAACAACCCTCTGCAGGCCTGGGAGCCGTGTGGTTCCCAGCTTAGCAGCTCAGGAGAAACGTCAGCTACTTGAGCAGAAGAGGTTTCGGGCGCTGCCCAGGTGCCGCTTCTCCTGATGACTTCAGTGGGAAAGGGCAGACACACTCCCAGGGCTTTGCTTTCCCCTTTCTTTCCTTCAAGCTGAGAAAACCGAGACACAGGCGTGCCCCACAGTCAGGTTCATGGTGAGACATCCAGCAGCTTCCTCTTCCCCCGTCAGAAATTTCACCCTGCTATAGATTTTCTTTTTTCCCTTTGATTTTGTTTCCAGGTTTTTTTAAAATTACAGTAAAATTTACCATTTTAACCTTTTATTTATTGATTGATTGGCTGTGCTGGGTCTTCGTTGTGGTGCATGGGCTTCTCATTGCAGTGCGCGGGCTTCTCTTGTTGTGGCGCATGGGCTCTAGGCGCGCGGGCTTCAGTAGCTGCAGCACGCGGGCTCAGCAGTTGTGGCTCGTGGGCTGTAGAGCGCAGGCTCAGTAGTTGTGGCGCACGGGCTTAGCTGCTCCACGGCATTTGGGATATTCCCAGACCAGGGCTTGAACCCGTGTCCCCTGCATTGGCAGGCGGATTCTTAACCACCGCGCCACCAGGGAAGTCCCCATTTTAACCTTTTTTAAGTGTCCGGCACAGTGGCATTAAGAGCACTCGCGTCGCTCTGCCACCGCCGCCCCCTTTTCTCTGCTTCAGGGACCACACAGATGAGAGGGATGGAGCAGTGCGTGTCCTCTTGTGTCTGCTGATATCACTGAGCATGATGGCTCGGTTTGGTTTTTGTTTTTTTTTTTTACTGTTTGTATGGCGCTGTTCATCTATACTGTAGCATTCTTTGATTTTTTTTTGATATGTAGAAAATGAGATTGATTTTTTGTTTTGTTTTGTTTTTACTGTTTGTTTGGTGCTGTTTTCTCCAGGTTTGGACACCAGGATTAGTCTAGTTTATCACACACATTGGACAGCTTTCCATCGTTTTCTCTGCACGGGAACTGACTTTATAGCATGAGTTATTTTTGCCTCCTATAGATGAAATCTGTATTATGTCTGGCAAGATTTCCTGAGTCTTGATCATTTCTCTTGACATACTTTTTCCTGTGACCTAAAAGGATAAACAGCTATCACATCTTCCCCCTTCTGAGACATCCATTTCAGCTTGTGTCACTCGTCCGTCCTTGGCTTGTCACCAGCCCTGCTTGTTCTTGGTGTTAAATGCTGTTGGTCTTCTGGACCGGCTGCCTGTGTGGGAGTCCAGGCCAGCCTGTTCTTGACATGCTCAGAACGGAGTCTGTCCACACGCTTCCCAGCCGATGGCACTAAACACTTGGCTCCAGGGCCTGAGCCCTCTCACACCGGATGCTCTCCTTCTCGCCCGGCCACTTCTGTTCTTTGTGTTTCAGGGGTCACTGCATCTGGGTTTGATACCTGACCTGGCGTAGCTGGTGGCAACCGCTGCTGCACGCCCAGACTTTGGACCCTGTTTACCAACCTCTTGAAAAAGACGGTCTGGTTTGGTTCCCTGGGGCTGCAGTAGGGAAACCCCACCGGCTGGGTATTTTCCTGAAGTGTCTGGAGGCCACAAGTCTGGTATCAGGGTGTTGCAGGGTTGGTTCCTCTGGAGGCTCTGAGGAGTCTGCTCTGGCCTCTCCAGCTCCAGTCTCCGTCTGCACTGGCATCCCTGTGTGTGTCTGTAAGCCTGCCCCTTTCTCTTGTAAAGACATGGGTCATGGGATTAGGGCCCAGATCCAGGATGACCTGGCCTTAACGTGACATCTGCAAAGACCCCATTTCCAAATAAGGTCCTGCTCTCAGGTCCTGGCGGCCAGCACCTGGGCCTGTCTCTGGGGGACACGGTTCAACCGCAGCCCTGCCTCAGCCCCTCTTCTCTCCTGACCAGGACGTCTCCTGAGGTAGAGACGAAGCACATTCTTGAGTCTCTCAGCTGCCTTGTGCCACTGGCCTCACTGTAAAGGTTTAGTAGAGTAGAGCTTTTACATACATTTCCCCCTTTTAGGAGTAATTCTGGAGAAGCAAAGGCTGAATAGCAATACATAAGCACCTTATTTTATGCATTTCGTTGAAAACAATTTGTCCTCTAAAAACTGTCCTCTCAAAGTTTTCTGGTTTTCCTAATCAATATTTTTCTAGTATTTTCTAATGAAAAACATTATGGACTTAGAAGTCAATTTTACCTGCACCTTCATTTTCTCCCCGTGACTGCTCCCAGCCCAGGCCGTGTGTTCCGTGTGTATTGATCTGGGCGGTCTCGGCATCCTAGCCTCTCACGATGCCCTCTCATCCCAGGTCTGGGGGTGACCTGGGCACCCCTGGTCCTGCTCTGCATTGCCTTCTTGTTGCCACGTGCAGTGGCCCTCCTGGTTCCCCCGTGCTGCTCGTGGGCTTGGCCAGGGGTTAATCTACCCGAGGTCAGCCGGGCCTGCCCAGAGGCAGGTGTTGCCTGGGGCCGCTGCTGCCCAGGCTGTATTGAAAATCTGCTTTTGCACAGCACCGTCCTGGGCCCACAAAGGACGTGATGGAAGAGGATGGGCTTCTACCTGCTGGATGCACTCCCAGTGAGCATGGGCTCTGGCTGGTAAAAGATACGCAGGGCCTGGCACAGGCGTGCAGAGCCAGCATGGCACTAGACACATACGTGCCTGGCCGCCCTCCCCGGGCTGCACCAGCTGGCCGCCGGCAGATGGGTCACCTTCTGCAGGATTGGAGCTTTTCAGCATCTGTACATGGCCCTGCGGACTGGCAGGGTGTCCAGGCCCCGGGCCAGGGAGGCCATCGCGGGCCCGGCTGCCCGGCCTGGGGCATGCTCCCACAGGACTCTCCTCTCAGGTCAGCAATGGCGCCAGCCCCCAGGATGAGCGCACCACAAGCCTGCTGGTGTTCAGCTTCCTCCAGAGCTGCCCGCACTCCCGTTGCCGCCAGGAGCTGGAGATGCTGGGCCACAAGCTGTCCGTGCGCGCGGCCCACGACGACGAGCTGCAGACGGATGGCAACTGGTGCAGCCACTTCCGTCTTGAGGGGGCGGCAGAGACAGGTAGGCGCCGGGCCAGCCTCCGCGGCCCAGATGCTCAGGTCCACCCCGTGTCCAGCGGAGCAGGCCTCGCCGAGTCCAGGCAGTTGAAACCTACTCGGGCTCCTGAGGATTGTTTGCGTTTGTGCAGCGCCCGTGCTTTACTCCTGTGTATGTTATGGCCGTGACGATCTGCACGGTCACCAGGGCAGCGGGGACCTGGGGCTCTTTTCTTGGGCCGGGCCATCCTCTGTGTGTGGCAGATTCCAGGTGTGCGTCCTGTCCTCCCGGCCTCAGCTTTGGCCACCAGTGCTGCCGCCACGGAGGCCACTGGGAGCTGACGGCTGGGCGCCCCTCTGGCGGTGGGCCAGGCACAGCACCTCCTGGAGCTCCCTGAGGAATTCTCTTGGGTTCCTGAACCAGCCTGTGCTTTGGGGGCAGGCTCCCACGTGTTCCCGACGCGCCCGGGAGGCCTGGGCTGGAGTCTGCCGCCTGGAGGTGGGGGTCACTGACCTCTTGAGGCTGATCTGGCCTCTGGGCCGCCAGCTGTCTCAATTCAGGTAGCCAGCGGCGCAGCAGGGGGTCCCCACCAGCCAGGGTTGCCTTAGGCCCCCTTTGGGAAGGGGCAGGAGTAGCTCTGCTCTCAGATCTGCTGCCCCGGTGGCCCCCATCTGCACCAAGCGCCCCTCAGACCGTGGAGCCTCACTGGACGCACAGGGCAAGGTGGGCGCTCGGGTAGGAAGCGGTGTGTGGTCAGGAGCCTGAGGAGGTGTGGCCACAACGGGCACAACGGAGGCCTGGCCGCCACTTGTCGGTGGATTTGTTCGCTCGGCTGGACGGGAGGAGGTGGGAGAGCGGGGCCGTCGGGGGCTGTGTGGGAGGCGGGTGAGGACAAGCGCACGGGCCGGGCCGCGAAGGGGACCACGGGGGTGGAGCGTGGCCGGGCTGTCGACCCAGGTCTCGGAGGTCTTGGCAGGCGAGTGGTGACCTGTCCGCGAGCAGAGATGGGCGGGTAGTGGGAGGTTTTGGGGTGAGGAGGGCTCGTGTTGGGGTCACACGGACACGTCTCAGTGAGGTCAGGGCTGCAGCCAGGCCCACGGAACTCCACGGGCGCAGGGCTGTGCAGGCACTGCCGGCAGATTCCACCAACCACAGGTTGGAAATGCTTGGGGAAAAAAGTTCCAGAAAGTTCCCCAGAGCAAAAGTTGAATTTGCTGTGCAGTGGCGTTGTATGAGGTGGAGGTGATCACGTGAGGGACGCCAGCCCCTGGAGTTTGGTGCCCGCAGGGGTCCTGGGCCGGCGCCCACCCAGACCCCGAGGGACAAGTGTGCAGGCAGCTAGGCGAGGTTGTTGGTCGGGGTCCAGACCCCAAGGCGCGGCACTTGGACCCTCTGGTTTCCCAGCACGTGTAGACGTACGTGTACACTACACGGAGGTGTGTTCAGTGTGCAGTGGCGCTGTCTTAACAGCGTTCGTGCCTTAATTAAAAGGACTTCTTCATTGCTACATGCTAACCATTCTCTGAGCCTGCAGTGTGTTGAAGCAGTGACGTCACTGGTCACCATACAAATATATAATAATGAAAAAGTTTGAAATATTGCGAGAATTACCAAAATGTGACACAGAGACACAGAGTGAGCAAATGCTGTTGGAAAAACAATGCCAACAACTCTCTCAATGCAGGGCTGGCTGCCACAGGCCTTCCACCTGTGTGATGGGCGGAAAGGGGCTGGAGGTGGGGCGAGTACACTTTTGTGCTGCGGGGAGAAGCAGCAAGGGGGCTGGTCACTCAGTGCCCTGGGTCCCCAGCTGCGTACCTGGGAGTCAGCCCACAGCTGGGAGCCCCAGAGCCCATGGAAGCTTCTGTTCTGGGGAGGGGCTGAGATGGTGTCCAGGAAGGAAGAGCGTGGCATCTGGGGAGGGGTGGGGGGGTGGGGAGGAGGCAGAGTCCAGGGCGAGAGGCTGCGGAGCCTCTGTCCTGACCGCTTCCTCTGCCGACAGCCGTTGGACGCTGGGCTTCGAGCCCAGGTTGTGGCTACCCCGGCATCACAGGTCCTTCTCCCGCCCGGCCCCTGCGCCTGGTCCCGTGTTCACACTGTCCTCACTGGGCTGTGGATGCAGGACCCACCCCTTTCCTGGAGCAGGAACGGGGTGTGAGCGGGTCATCATCTGACACACACACACACACACACACACCCCCCCCCGCCTTTCTGCACATTAGACTCTGAGACTCGGGAGGAAGTGGTCCGGGACATCGCCAGGCAGCTCGCCCAGATTGGGGACAGGATGGAGTGCAGCATCTGTCCGGGGCTGGTGGCTGGCCTGGCCGCGCAGTTCAGTAACTCGAGCCTGTCGGAGGAGGTGAGTGAGAAAACCCACGGGGCTTGTCCTCTGCCTCCTGGCAGACAGACCAGCGTCCAGGGAGGTGGCTCAGCTCGTGACTGCTGGAGAGAGAGCCAGCCTGGTGAACTGTCTCTCAAAAAGTCACTTGACAGCTGAAAACCTGAAGTCAGACTCGAGTTTGGGGACAGAGCCCCCCAAAGATTAACGAGACGGATGTGACTCTTCCTGAAACATGTTCCACTCCTCTGACCGCTGAGGTGGCGGGGCCCCGTGACCTAGAAATGCCCTCGGGCTGGGCCTGGCGGGTCGGGTCCTGCCTCCGGGAAGGCCCGTCTGTCAGGGAGCCTCCCTCTGAGCTTCGCTGGCCAGGCGGATCAGACACAGGCTGATCGTGCCGTTCTGCCACGTGTTGGCGTGTGGAAGGTCCCTTCTGGTCTGGCGGTGCCTGAGGCCTCTCCTGGCAGGAGGTCCCCATCCCCCTCCCTGCTCCCATGTACCAGGCTGGACCCCTGGGCGGTGGCTGACCTTGATCTCAGGTGCCTCCAAGCAGGAGACAAGGACCCACCCGCGGTGGGGGGTGGGGTGGGGGCGGGGGGCGGTGCCTCGCCTGCCCCTGGCTTTGCCTCCTCAGCTGTTTCCAGCACTTCCCTCCTCCCTGCGGGAGGCTGGTAACCGCACCTCTGCTTCCACCTGTGCAGGACAGGAGGCGGTGCCTGGCGGCCGCGCTGCAACAACTCACACAGCTCTACCCTGCGGATGTGGACCGCGAGAAGACTCTGCTCCTGCTGACCATGCTCGTGGCCAAAAAGGTGGCTGACCACTCGCCAGCTGTGCTCCAAAATGTCTTTCACACCACAGTGACCTTCATCAACCAGAACCTTCTCGCCTACGTGAGGAACTTAGTCCAAAACGTAAGAGCCAGTGGTGGCAGCTCCTGGGCTCTTAAGCCCCCCTTGGTGTCCGCCTCTCCCCACCCCGGCCCCCTCTGAGCTCTGGGACCCTCGCTGCAGGGCTGCCTGCTGGGGACAGGCCCCAGGGAAGGTGGTCACGGCCCTTCCTGCTCAGGAGGAAAGGCTTGGTTCTGCGTCCGGGAGTCCGGTTGTTTCTGAGAGGAGCTGCTGTCACAGGGCAGCGGAGGCCGACTGTGCACCCTTCACAGGCTTGTAAGAGCTGCTGGGGGGCGAGCAGGAGAGGGGGCCAGAGGGGCCCACGCTGGGCTTCCCCAGTCTGCTGTCAGCCTCACCTTGTCACAAAAAGGAGTAAAATTTAAATTAAAACATGCTTACCAAGGAGGGTGAGCGGTCAAAAGGGGGTACAAACTGTACACGTCTGTCCTCCACCCAGGATATTAGAAAGTCTGGTGCTTCCGTTTCGTAGACCACCTGGAAGGGAAAGTGGATGTATCTTATCTATAAATTTTGGGGTTTTATGTGTCGGGAGCATTGCTCAGGTGTCTGACCCTCTTAACATGTAGTCGATGAGCCTTAAAAGCATTCTCTCTGCGTGGCCTTCGGTTATACGGGCTTTTAAAAGTAAAAACCGGAGGGAGAACACAAACCCCAACTCGTTGCGAAACCAAGCTGAGCTGTTGTTGGAAGGAGATAAGCCTCTGTTAACAGCTTCCAGACACTGTGGGACTGAAACAGAACCTTGGTCCAGTCCTCTCACCCACTGAGATGCCTCTTGGCACCGTAAGTGACTTGGTGAAAGCTGTGTTTGTTTGCAAAGCCCCAGCTGCACTTCTGCTGACTGTGGCCCTAGAGGCTCAGGTCTAGGGTCCTGGCTCAGGAGGGAGGCTGGCTAATCCCGGCTGTTGTCCTTTCTTGCTCCAGGAGATGGACTGAAGGGACGACTCAACAAAAGTGCGACTGGTTACAACTTGAGATGGTGACAGCGGTGTAGCTGTCTCCACAGAGATGGAGCCTCGGCCACTTAAACGTGCTCAGAGAAGACAGGCACGAGGTGGCAGCTGTGTCTCTCTCACCATTTTAAAGCCAGGGACCATTTAGGAATTTCTTCATGTACGTGTGTGAGTGTTTCACATCATCTACATCCATCCACACACTGTGCCTTTACCTAATGTCTGCTGGAAAGGTCCCCGCCTGAAAATCAGATCTAGAAGCAGATCGTGAGTTCCCTGGTGGTCCAGTGGTTAGGACTCCTCTGCGCTTCCACTGCAGGGACCAGGTCTGATCCCTGGTCGGGGAACTAAGATCCCACAAGCTGCAGCCAAAGAAGAAAAAAAGAACAACAAAATGAAAGCAGGTTGACAAATAAAAGGCAGAAGAAAAAGAACACACAATGTTTTTTTGTTTTTTAAAAAAACCCACTTGGGACTTTCCTGGCAGTCCAGTGGTTAAGACTCCGTGCTTCCACTGCAGGGGTGCAGGTTTGATCCCTGGTCAGAAAACCAAGATCCTACATACCGTGCAGTGCAGCAAAAAAAAAAAAAAAAAAAAAAAGCGCACCCTTGGTGGTGGTGGTGGTGGTGGTGGTGTTACCACAGGCAGTGCCGAGTGTGAGGGGACCAGGGATTGGAGAGGGAATGCATGGACCTCTTACAAGTGATAAATTCCCCTCAAAACAGGGACACCTTCATAGTAAGGAAGTGCAGTCTTTTTTTTTTTTTTTTTTAGGTTTCATAGAGAGGTTTAATGCTGTGTGTGTTCACATACCAAAGCTAATTCCACCAGCACAGGAAATCTCTCACTGTATATTTCCTCGAGGTTCATCCCAAGAGCCTGGGCCATTCCAGATGCAGATGGAAGAAGGCAGCACCACCAGATACCGGAGGGGTCCAAGGGGATGGGTTTAATTAATTGTCTTCCTTGAACTTGCCGTCGATGTAGGGCACCCGGTCCAGAATCAGTCAGTGGCCCATAGCAGCCCCACGGCTCCCATAGCGCCCCGCTGGCCCACTGTGGGTGACCGGTCTCTGGCCAGCAGCATCGTGGCTCTGTCCCGGCTCAGGGTGACCCCGGCCCCGCTGGCTCAGGCGCACTCGGTCTTCCTGTTTAAAAACCAAGCAGCACAAGAGGTTCTGGACTGGAAGGTTTAACAGGAAAATCGGACTTTTGTGTGTTTGACTTTTTCACCGTGAATTCCTTCTACTTGAGTCAGGAACCACAGGCATTTAAAAGACGTGGAGGTAATTTCAAGGCCTATGTCAACCAGTTTCCAAAATCATGTAACTAAACGCACCCTTTTCTCTTTCCAAGAAGTCAAGGTTTTGATAAAAATTTTAAGCTACTGGAGAAGCTACTGCATCTGTCCTGTGGGGCATGTCTGTGAAGAGTCTTACGCTTTCATCTTCAGCCGTGCCCCCAGCTCATCTGCACCTGTGAAGCTGCTTATGCAGAGAACAGGTCTCTAGGCATAAAGGTGAAAGAGCAGTTAGACAGCATTTGTGGTGGCTCCCTTTTCTAGACACACAGTCAGTATACAAGTAATAACAGGGACTTCCCTGGTGGTCCAGTGGTTAAGAATCTGCCTTCCAGTGCAGGGGATGCAGGTTCGATCCCTGGTCGGGGAACTAAGATCCCACATGTCGCGGGGCAACTAAGACCCGATGCAGCCAAAAATAAATTTAAACAAAACAAAACACTATAGTCCAATAAAATTTGAAAAAAAAAGAATACAATAACAAAACGCAATCACTTAGCACCAGAGTAAACCAGAGTACTTACTATTAGAAGCAATACAGCCCGGTCTGTTCCGAGCGCTAAGTGTTTACTAGGATTGGTCTGCGTCCAAGTTCAATGGTGGGTAGGGTCCAGGTCTCACATCACCAGTAACAGAAACGCCCTCGTTACTGTGACCATGATGCTCTGGGGAAGGACAATTCGAACACGAGTAATTAAGTCCTGATAAATACGTTGTTACCAAAACCACTTCCCTGTTCCCTGAGTTTAAACTTACCAGAAAAGAAAAATGACTCCATGGTTCAGCGTCGAACACAGCACCCCAGGGCTGGGTCTCAGGCTGACACCTGCAGAACGCTGCAAGTCCTAAAAGCAAGTAGGTGTGGCTGCGCCTCTGGAAACAATCTTCTAGGTTTAAAGGGCTCATGTCACCATGGAAACAGGGTGAATCACACATGAACACAGACACAGGGATCAGTCAGTACAATGTGTCTCAGCAGGGAGACAGTTTCTTCCAGGCCCAGGAGCAATTTAAACTCAAGTAGTCAACTCTATAAACTAATGGAAGAGAAAGGAGCTCTAAAGCACCAAATCATCCCAGACTATCTCTTACAATACTTTAAAGTTTTCAGGGACCTCCCTGGCGGTCCAGTGGTTAAGAGTCCACGCTCCCACTGCAGGGCCACGGGTCTGATCCTTGGCTGGGGAACTAAGATCCCGCGTGCCGTGTGGTGCAGTAAGTAGGTAAATAAATAATGTGCCACAGCATCTTCACCTGCCACTGTTTTGCGTACATTAATACAGTAAGCCACCGTTTTAATGCAGTTTATACATGTTTTGGTGTCAATTTTTCCAGACCAAGTCAGATATACTTTCTTGATCATAAAGCAAGATGACCGCTCTTCTCCCCAAGCCAGCGTCATACAGAGATTCCAGCCTTGAGCACATCCTGGCCACCAGGACTCGGGTACATCCTGGAAATTGGTGCATTTTACATCACAACCCTCGTGGACAGAATTGAGATGTTTTTAATTAAGAGAACGTTTCATCCTGCTTTTTAAGTATTTGAATTAAGTGATGGTTAAGAGAACAAAAGGTGCTCGGCATCACTGAAAGTCCAGAGACCCATCCGGTGTACTCAGACCGGCTCCTCAGGAGCCGGCACTGACTGCTGGGCTGCAGCCCCGGAGCCACTGTTATTCTCCAGCAAGTTCACTAGCTGTGCGAGTGGGCCTTTGGGTGTTGCTAGCGTGTTTTCAGAACCTGCAATCAAACCACATAGGTACGTACGTAAGATGACAAGGCTGATGGTCTGGAGGCAGCCCTCCCGGGTCGAGGCAGGGGGTTGCTGTGTGAACATCAGTGTCTTCAAGGCTCATTTCATTACATCCTCTGGTGTCTGCTCCCCGCGCCGCCTGCAACAGAGCGCCATTCACAGAGCTGCGCTTTGCTGCATTCCCCCAGCGAGCACAGAAGGCCAGTGATGAAGGCAAGCGGAGCCGGAATAACCCACAAGCCAGCTGTGCGGGCGAGCAGAGGGACCTCACACAGGAAGAGGGTGTTACCACGGTGACCGATTCACCACAGGCCTTAGGAGGGATGATAGCATCAGAATCCGTAATACGCAGACCGCAGCCAAGGAACAAGTCAGGTAGAAAGAGGCACTTTTAACCTGAAGGAGGAAATGAACAAATGTGACAGCAAGGAAAACACAGCAGGTCTAGGAAAACGGTAAGTCGTCACTTCCTTCGGTGCTGACCAAGAACCCAGCTGCTTAGTACAGTTCTCTCACCAGAAATCGCCGTCCAGACGTAGCAGGGAGGGGCCCACCTCCTGGCTCTCCCTGGGGAAGGAGGCCAACACTTGCTCTAAATAGCTCGCGGGAGGGTGCGGTGTGGCCGTGAGGGGCGGCGGGATTGGCGGCCCTGCGGACGCCTGGGGAACAGCCCCCTGGGCTACAGCAGCGCTTGCGGTGTAGACGGGACGGTGGAATAATCGTCTTGTGCGAAGAAAGGGGAGATGCGGATCAACACTTCAGCAACGACTTCCCGATTAGGTCGCGCTCCCAGCGTCAGCTCCCAAGACGTGCCTGTGTCCGAGTGGGTGCCCCCTGCACCCCGGGCGGCACAGACAGGCACCTGTCCCCCACACCACCCAAGGAAGCCAAGGAGACCCTAGTCCAGCGGGGCGGCTCTGGAATCGCCAGGCGCCAGGTCCATGTTGGGAGAGGCCTGGTGCGGTGAGCACCTGGGACAGACTGATGAAACCTTGGCTCCTGCGTGCAGTCCCACGGAGCTGGCTCAGCCCCTGCCCAACCGCAGCCTCCCCGGGGCACGGGCCGCTCCACGCGGGACAGGGTACCTGCTGGTACCTCTGCAGGTTACAAGGATGGGAGACGCCGGGGAAGCCCTAGACCTGAGTCAGAAGCTCTGACTGTTGCCTGCCGCACAGATGCCAGACGCCTTCGGGACAGTAGTGACCCCAAGGGGGTGCGAAGGGGAAGCGTGACGAGGGAGGCCCTCCAACAGCCCCTGGCGTGTTGTTGACTGCTCAGCCCCTCTGCTGAGACGATAATGACCACCCTTGTTTAGGGAAAGGAAAAGAGACGCTCCCTGGACTCAAGCCCAGCTCACAGCCGACCCCTGCGGGGAGTGGAGAACAGGGGGGCTCCACCAAGGACAGATCCTGGTCCTCTGGGGAAGAGGACACGTTCTCCTGGCGTCAGGTGTGTTGCTGAGACTTGACGCGAGATACTGCCTGCGTGGAACTGGTCCAGAGGCTAGAAGCTGTTTCTACAAAGAGACCAGACAGCCCCTCTTGATGAAATGACCACGTCAAATTCTTGGTAAGTAAAGTTTGTGTAAACAGACATAAGAAATTAAGAGAAGAGGGGAAAAAATCTTACCTACAATACCTTTCATTTCTATAAAACATCTCTTAAAATAATTTAAAAATTCTACGGGTATGACATTTGTCCCCATGCCAAAGCCTTCAGGGAAAAGGCAAGGAACAGGCACAGCTTTTATATTAGCAGGAATCAGCAAGAGCCTGAGGAAATGAATTTCTATGGGAAATGAACAGGGGCGGTTCACACCCAGGGAGAGAGAACAGGCGAGCGGAGGATCAGCCTCTGGGAACCAGATGGTCAGCAGATGGCTTTTCATCTAGAAGGCTCTCTGGGGGCGGTGCTGATGGCCGTAAGGCACGCTGGGACTGACTGGTTTCTGAGGCCCCGGAGTTGTCACCACTTTACTCCAGAGAACATAAACTAGCATTCTTTAATCCTGGTATTTTTCTCAAGAAACCTTCAGTGGCTTTTGCCAAGTGATCAGAAATCATTACATTCAATACAGCAGTTAAGAGTTCTGCAGGACGTACCAACACAGCAGTTCAAACGAGGGTGACGAGTCTGAGTTCCACACCTGCGTCCCACCATCATCCTCCCTCTACCTTAGACTCAGATGTTCCAGTCCCACCAAAAAGGGGGTGGGCACCTGAGAAGCAGTTTTTAACGTCACAGCAAAACATGGGAGCCACTACCACCACAGTCCTTACTAGGCGCTCCCTCCTCCTGTCCACAACCAGAGGGGACGCTGAGGTCCTCCTATCACTCGGGAACCCCGTGCTTGAAGGCCACGCTGTCTGGGTCACTGCTGAGTAAAGCGTGGCCCCGCCTTACCCCTCCGCCGTGGAGGACGCAGACCTCAGCCTCCGCAGCGCAGACCTCCCGCCAGCCGCCCTCCCGCCAGCAGCTCAGAAACGAACCGGCTCCTGTTACTGCTTCAGTGCGTTCAGCCAATGGGCTTGAGGATCCAGAGTTTACATGTAAGCACTGGAAAGAGAATATTCTATCATAAAAGGGAAGAGAATGAAGACAACTCAGCAGTTCGCTCTTCCCCTACGAAGCACCAGTGCTGCAGTCGGAACACACGAGGAAAACCCCACTTCCCTCACCTCTGGCTCCTCAGTGAAGGACACCAAGACCCTGACCAACATCCCTCCCCAACGAGACCCAAAAACTCAGAACGCACGATACACTGCCTGGTAAAGCTGCACACACGCACACGCGCACACACGCGCGCACACACACACACACACTCTCCAGACCTTTCTGACCAACTTCTAAACAGTATCGCTTTAGGAAGAATATTTAATTTAAAAAAATAAATTTAAAAAATTAAAGCACATTTAGAACATCAAGTTTTGGTGATCAGGATAGGTAAAGTAATTTTATTACAAATTTCAGGATTTAAAAAGTAACCTGTTACATTTACTAGGATAAATCTGAGATGACCTGTCTCAAGCACGTGTGTCCCCATCCATGACACTGACCTCAGGCATGATGAGACGCGGTCCACCCGTGAGGGATGCTGTCAGCGGATGAGGCTACGCTGAGTCTCCACGGGCACGTGCTGACCGTGATCATTACGGTTTGTCACTCTGGCATTTGGGCCGTGACGAGCTCAGTGTGAGCCTCCGTTATGGAACTCTGAAAGCCAAGCTAGACCCTCAAGGGCAGCCTCTCTTTCCTGCTTTTTACTTCAATGATATTTAGGAGACTTTGTGTACTGAATGAGAGTTATGATTCCCCAGTCTGTAAGCCCACATGTGGAAACCCTTATCACCTGGCAAGAGACCGCCGAGGAGCGGCCTGACTGGGAAGGAGGCTGAGGCCAGAACCTGGGAATCCCGCTAGTCCAGGTCACGGACAGCGAGGCCCAGCAAGAGAGACGCTGCCGGCTGGCGAGTCCCCGTCGGCTCAAGGGTGCCCACAGACAAAAGGGCTGCGAGCAACCTCGATAGGCCAGCTAAGCCACCCTCCAGCTTCCGACGCGGAGACAAACTTGCCCCGCAGTCACGGACAGGGGCCCCAGGTCTCTTCCATCTCGTACGTTTAAAGACTAAAGGCAGCATCTTTACAAGGGGAACTGCGGGAAGCATCGGGCGAGCCCTCTGCACGGGGCCTCGGGGCACCCTGGGGCGAGGCGGGCAGGGCAGTACCTGAGAGGCGGCTGAGACCCAGCAGAGCACCTGGGCTGCGGGACTGAGGGCGGGAAGAACAGAGGAGCTAAGACTCCAGGCAGGAGTGCGCCAGCAGCCGAGGGGCCCACAGCCACGCCCTCCTGCCTGGGGTCTGCCCCCCAGGCGCCCCCATGGGGACCCTCTCGCTCTGAGACTGTGGCTCTCACGGGATGACGTTATCCCCGGGGGACGTTTGGCAACACGGGGAGACACGTGGGGTGGGGCTGCCACCACTGGGGAAGGCGCTACAGGGCTGGTGGGCGGAGGCTGCGCACCCTACAGGGCACAGGCCCCAGGCCCGGGAGCTACCCAGGGGCTGTGGACGCCAGGCGGGGGGCACTTTACACACAAGACCCTGAACCTAGCAGGCGCCCAGGCCTGGGACCTCCAATCAGACCACTGTGCGCAGCCTCCAGCTCAAGCCCTAACACGTGGGTCGGCCCCCTGCCCTGCGGACCCAAGTCCTCCTGACCCCGGAGTGTCCAAGGGATGTCCAGCTAGCTTCTGGCCGCTCCAGTCCAGTCGACACAACTAAAACCTTACACCTTTTTGTGTTCTCTCTCCGAAAAATCTACTTCCTTCTCAGAGCCAGTGCCACCCCAACTGCCACCGCCAGGATGGCAACAGCGGCGGCTGCCCCCCCCGAGGAGCAGGAGGGACTTGCCCTCAGGCGGCGGGCCAGCCTCCTCGGGGCCGCCCGGGGAGGGCCCTGCGCCCAGCCCCCCCCCACCCGCGGACCGCCTGCCCTCCGCCCGGCGGGGCTGCTGGGGGCTCCACCGGGGGCTCTAGCGGCGGGACCCCCTCCTGCTCCAGTTCAGCAGCTCCGGACCTGGCCGCTCCCGCCTCTTCTTCAGCGAGTTCCACAAACAGAGATGTCGTGGGACTGGCTGGCTGGCCGGCCGACCCCTCGGGGCCAGGCTCCCCGGCCGCCATCAGGGCAGAGGCCGCCACAGCCGCCGCCTCCGCGCCCTCGGGAATCTCCTCTTTCTCCACGTGCACGATGTCAGAGTTGGAGGAGTTGTTCTCACTCTTCTCTCCAGCCCCGTTGCTGTCCAAGCTCTTGACTTCTTCGGGGTCCACTGTGACCTGCTGCCACGACTCGGGACCCAGGGACACCGGTGGGCTCTCGGTGCGCCAGCTCTGGCTGCTGGACAGCGACACGGGGAAGCCCTCGGCCTGCCAGGACGCCGTCGCGGTCGTCGGAGACTCCGGGGGGCTGGCGAGCGTGGAGCCGCCACTGGGCAGGATGTAGATGTCGTTGCTGTCTTCCGCGGCGCCCGCGGGGCGCTCCTCGTCCTCTGGCTCCAGGGCAAAGACAGCGCCCTAGGAGATGAGGGGGGCGGTCAGTGCAAAGAAGGGGAAACAGACCTAAAATAAATGTAAATCTGGAGGCAGCCCCTTTCCTAAAATGAACTTCCAGGGATAAATGCACTGTATAAACCTACAGTTTTTGGACTGAACGTGTTTGCTTGTAGACCAACACAGGGGAAGAATTTTTAACAAGACGATCCTCTGACCAGTTTCTTCAAAGCTGAAAAAGCAAAAAGCTGATTTATATTCTAATCAATTTATACACATTTAATGCAATAAATAATGCAACACAGCGGAGAAAAAGGCAGGCAGCTTGTGCCCTAGGGATCTATCGCTCGGCCGGGCTGGTGCCGTCAGGAGCCCAGACAGGGAAGGACGCGCTTTGCTGGCAGCTGGGGAGGTGCAGGAGCCTGGCGGAGGGACGTGTGAGGGGCGGGGAAGAGCCACCGCCCAGCAGAGGCCCAGAAACGTCAGCCGGGGACGGGAAGCAGCCTGCCGTGACCAGGGAGGTGCCGGCAGCAAACGCCACAGCCCTGACTCAACGGCAAGGGAACGGTCATCGGCCACTCGGTCATGGATGAAGCCGCCCCGACGATGGGGAGGGTGCGGGGGACGCAGGCCTCCCGCCCTCCTGGCGACGGGAGCCACACGGCAGCAACACGGCCACGGGCGCTCCAGGCTCCCTGCGGGGGCTGTGTCAACTCCGGTCACAAGGAAGAACACGACTCAATTTTGGTTCTTGACAAATTCACCATCTAGACGTGAAGACCGACACAGGAGGCACACATTTCACCGCGACACCGGCAGCCCTAAGGCAGGGGACACACGGGGACCAGGAGGTTCGTGGCGGAGACAGACGGGAAGTCACCCAGAGTCTGGACGACACCCGCAGATGCTACGGAGTCTGCAGAGCATATGCAAGCAAACCAATTTCCACTCTACTTTGTGGTTACGGTGCCGTTTATACGAAGCAGAGTAGTTCTGCTCTGTGATCCGGTCACACTCGAGTTGTCTGGAGATAAGCAATATGGTCCCTTGTGTCCCCTATCCTTAGACTCACATCTGCAGCCGACGGCCTGAGGGTCAGAGAGATCCACGTGCTCACCAGTGGGAACTCCCACCAAGGGCTAAAAACAGAACCTCCAACAGCAAGAACTGATTTAAAAAGCAAAACAAAGGAACCATAATAAAACAGGTAAAAATTTTAATCCTCAGAAAGGAGACCTTTGCTACTTTTTATTTAGGGCTCGAAGCCAAAACAAGTGAAATGGAAATTTCACAAGTTGCATCGTGAAGAAATGAGGGAAAAGTTAACAAACTAAAAAAAATTAGCATAAAACTACTGTTCTCTTTATTTTTAACAGCTCAGGGCTGAGAGTCAGGAACATTCTTCATCCCGTATCTGGAAGACTTCTTCATCCAACCAAGATACTGGATCAACACGGTTGTCAAGTGACAACTCTGGGGGACGATATGGCCCCAAAGCCAGTCAGGCTTAGTTGCCTCTTTCCTTGCTGTCATGGACTCTCTACCTTACGACTTATTTCTGTATTTTGGACGTGATTATTTTAATGACGATTCACCAAAAATTTTGTGCTTTTATGTAAGAAGTTTTAAAGAAAGAATAGATGACCATTGAGACTTTCACTCCTGGTCATCTGAAGCAAAAATATAAAAATAGAGGCCTCTCCCTTGACTATTACTGTCATTAATGAAGACTAGGCTTTCAATAAAAGATAAAGCACTGTTTTGGGTAATACTTTACCTAAAACTTAGCACATTAGGGGACTAACATCTACAACTAGCCTTAGATCCATTCCAACAATTTAAATAATTTTTAGCACAAAATATGTATATTGCTGGAAACAGCTATCTCTTTAGTCCCACTGATACAAAAAACAGAAAGGAGTAACTTCAAGGGCTCAAAAATATAAAACGGATTGGGACCAACTAGAGTTTAAATATGCATGAAGGGGGAACTCCCTGGAGGTCCGGTGGTTGGGACTCCACACTCTCACTGCCAATCCTTGGCTGGGGAACTAGATCCTGCAAGCCGCACGGCGTGGCCAATAAGTAAATAAATATGTACAAAGAATCAGAAAACTATGTTTTGTTTAAACACATGAAGCCCAGTGAGATCAGGTAACTTGCCCAAGGTCCCTCAGCTGCTGTGAGAACTGGACGCCAGTGTCCTTTTGAAGATTTTACTGAAATTAATTCATTTCACTTTCACAGATAAGGAAACTAAAGCAACTGAGATGGGTAAGTAATTGGCCTGAAGTCCAAAGCTGGGACTGGATCTAACCAGGCCGTTCACCTGCAGGGCCCACGCTTTCGTCAACTGTGCTCCCCTAACGCTCGAGCCCAAGGCTCCCCCCAACCCCAGACTTCCACACTGGTGCTTTTTCCTCAGTTTACAGCAAGAAGCAAATGGAAAAGGTTATTCTTGGTGTTTTCGTCAAGCAAATACACAAAGATATATTCATGAAACCCTTCAAAGAAAAAGGGAAGTGGAGAAGAAACAAATACGGAGGTAAAGGGACTCTTGTAGAATAAACGTAAGATAAAATGTAAGCGTAACCTTGGTTTTAGTGGTAGGAACGAAGTAAAAACAGCTTGGAGATCACTCAAAGAACCATTTCAAAGTGTGCGGCAGTGCTTCACCACGTCTGTATTAACCACATTTGCTTCGAGTTTTGTTTTGGTTCACACCAGTTACAAATTATTCTGCCACTTCAAGCAGTGTTTCACACACAGGGTCACAGCGGCCAATGAACTTAACTGTTCCAGCCGAGGACACCGGGGCCAACTCCCAAGACCCCACTCCCTGGTAGCTCAGAGACCCACGTCCCCTGGAGTGTACCAGCCAACCCGTATCATTACGATCTCTCTCTCAAGTATTCACCGGAAAAGACAAACACAGATACCTTGCTTCTCTACATTCAGTCAAACAGGGTACTAACGACCAAATGCCTCTTAGATGGCTATTAACCTAAAATAAGAAAAGAGAGGGAATTCCCTGGTGGTCCAGTGGTCAAGACTCCACACTTTCACCACCAAGGGCCCGGGTTCGATCCCTGGTCGGGGAACGAAGACCCACAAGCCTTGAGGCACAGCCAAAAAAATAAAAATAAAACAAAAACAACAAAAAACCCCAAAGAAAATACTGTGAGAGAGACTCAGAGAAGTAACTTTCCACCTAATGTGATGACCAAGACCACAAAGAATACATTTTAAACACAGTGCAGTACACACGCACACTCACACATAAAATAAACAGATCTCATGAAACACTAAACCAAACCCTTACTACACTGAAACTACTTCAGTTGCAAAACCCACTTAACTGATTTTAGATCACAAACTATGTGTCACCTCCCACACTCTGTTCTAACCAGTTCTGACCTAAAAGTTCCCAAGAGTCAGTCTTCAAACGTCCTTGATGAAAACAAACATAAACTTTTTGAGGTCTGCAGTTCTTAAAACAGAAATGAGAAGCTTCAAGTCGGAAAAAATAGACAAAAATTTATTTATTTATTTTTGGTACGTGGGCCTCTCACTGCCGTGGCCTCTCCCGTTGCGGAGCACAGGCTCCGGACGCGCAGGCTCAGCAGCCACGGCTCACAGGCCCAGCTGCTCTGCGGCAACTGGGATCCTCCCGGACCGGGTCACGAACCCGCGTCCCCTGCATCGGCAGGAGGACTCCCAACCACTGTGCCACCAGGGAAGCCCCCAAAATTAATTTTATTCAAACTATTTAATATTATTACAGATGACATTTCCCCCAGTAATCTTTCATGTAATCTAAATGTTTCACAGTAAGTATTTAGGTTAGCACATGCCGCAGGAGAAAACCCAGGAGAAGCCCACCCCACGGTGGCCCCTTGCGGGCTCGCAGGCCTACTAGCAGCGGGAGCTGGGCTGTCCCGGCTCATACCCGGCTGTGCCTGACTGCTGCCCGGCAAAGACAGTCACCACCAAAACTCGAAGGAAACTTCAGACTCGAGAAGCAGAAAAACACACACTCTTAGGGACACATCTGAAAAGCTGATATTTGTAAAAATGTACTGTTTTCACAGAACACTTTTTCGCACCATCATTTTTGTGAGCTACAGAAGCTGCTCTTCCATACTGTAATTGATGAAACTGAGGCTCAGCGAAGTTAAATGAATTCCCCCCAAAACTCAGGGCTAATATTTGGCAGAGCTGGGGCCACAAACAAATTGTGATTCCAATCTCAACGCCCATACTCTGGCCAGGGAGAAAATAAGGTAGAAGGCAAGCAAACAAGCGTGCGTGCACACACATACCCCCGCTACCCTGCAGTCCCAGCACCAACAGTAGCAGACAGTCACTCTCCACTTCTCTCTCTGGAAAGCTGGCCGCCAGCGGACATGTGCTCCTGACTGCGCCCCAGCGACCCCGGCCTCCTCCTGTCCTCCGAGCCCCGTAACACAGCCACCTCACAGCACAGAACATGCCACCCCACCCTGCCCTGAGCCCAAGGAGGGCCCATTTTACTCAGCTTCTGGGTGGCAGCGCCTAGCGGAGGGGCACAGCACCCACAATCAGATAAGGGTTACTGGGTAGAAAACCGACACTGTAACTGCGGAGCGCTGGGGGCTCAGTGTGCACAAAACTGAGAAGCAAAACCTTCCGAGGGACTTGCAGCTTCCCCGTGGAAGGACCTGGACGTCTCCACTCCACCCCGAAGTGGGTTAAAAAGCTGAATGACCAGAAATCTCAAAGACTGTAAGAGAAGAGAGGTGATGCCACAGGGCAAACCGCTGTCCCGAGGCTGGAGACGGATGGGCGGGGCTGGGGGTCACCGGGGGACCAGTCCCAGGGAGGCCCTGCAATTCTGAGATTCACCTCTACCCCCCTGGCTCCCTGCTCCCGGGCGAGGGGAAAAATGAGCCCTGATCTTCCTGACAAGCTGTGTCCTCAGGGGGAACCAGTTAACCACAGCCTAACTGCCCAAGAGGAAGGAAAATACTCGCCGGCAGCCCACT